AAATGATAACACAGGAGAAGTAAACACTTTTTACAAGTCTGCCGACGCAACATGAGAAGACTGACAAAGTAGATTGTTTGGGAATTTATCGCATCAAATGCGGCAACTGAGAGCAAAGTACATTGACGCGACAGGAAGAAAAATCGGCCTACGAATCAAGGAACATCAAAGACTCCGCAGGAAAATGGATACGAAAAGATCCGAAATAGCGCAACGCATTGCACGAACGGGGCCCGAAATCGACTGGAAATCGACCGAAAGGTTGGTTGCATGTGAAAATACAAGAAAACGCAAGATCCGAGAGGCCATCGAAATTCTGACCGAGAGAAATCTAATAAACAGGAGACTTGAAGAAGGTTGGGTCTGCGAAAACTTCGCATATTGGCTAAACATACTCGGAGAAGACCAGGCATAGCAGGATAAGCAAAAAGAAAACGAATGGATGAAGGTAATATCCTTAATTTTAGAAAAAGAGATCGCAAGGGGACGAGAAAGCAACAATCAGAAGCAAAGAGGAGACGTCTTCAGTGATCCTAATCATAACAAGTAGAACCAAAAAATTTGTGGGTTGGCACACAAGAGATTAGGACGTAGGAAGTGATAGACATGGTATAACGGATATAAACAGGATAGACGCGATGGAGACTAAAGCTATTTGGCTAACAATAGACGTATTTGATCATAGACGTGATCTTTGAAGCACGAAAATTGTTAGCCAACTATCTCTAACTCCATTGTTTCTATCCTCTTTCTTTCTATAATACCAAGTCTATGACTTCCAATGCCCTAGTCTCTTTTGTGCCAACCCACAAACGTTGTGGTTCAACATTGAACCTTAAAAGCAAGCAGTATCACAACACTAGGGCAGGGGAAGTCATAGATTTGGCATTCGGGATAGAAACAGGATAGACGCGGCGGAGACTGGAGCTAGTTGGCTGACAGTAGGTTTTACCAGAGACATGGTTAATGTAGCAAAGGCGTGACCATGAGACTTATTCAGAGGCTTTGGCCTCGAATTAGTCACTCAGACGCAGAATTTGTGAAATAACTCCTCGTGAAGCACAGATGGGGCGGCAGAGGTCCAGTGAACTACTTGAACCAGTGCAATAGCAGACGGATCGTACGGGGCAAGAGGGAGACTGTGATAAGACCTAGGGAAGGAGGACTGTGTGAATATGTGGCAGACTCTGATCAACATTCCCAGGACAAGGGTGAAGGAGATGAGAGCGACGGCGTGGAGTGTGGAGGGTTTTTATGAATTCCGCTCAATGGAGCACACCACACGACATCGAAATAAGCACAGTAAATATTGTAACAGTGAAGGTGTAATAGGAGGATATAGGAAATGTAAATAGCCCAGGTCAGAAGGTGAGATACCAAAACTGTTTAGCACACGTTTGGTCAAAGGATCGGCTTCACTTGTTTCTTTGACAAATTGTTGTGTGGTACTAAAAATGGCGATACTCACTGATGATGCCGACTACGATGTCGACGAAACGTCTGGGAACGTACTACGTCCACGGTCCTACTTTGGAAATGATCTTGCATAAAATGGACTCCGGAAATAGGTGAGTTCCTCTTAATATTTCTACCAATATGACCCAGTTGCGAAAATAAGGTCAAACAACTTCTAAACAGGATATTATGTTTTATATAATGTATTTCTTTGAATTGATTTTAAATACCTCAGTGTTAGCTTCAGCTAATACAAAAATGAGAAAATAATGTACTATTTTAAAAGTTTTATTAAGCTTCATTAATGGTATAAAACCCATTATATGAGTTTATATGTTGTAATCGCCTATAATGGAACGACTTTGAACAGTACGACACTTTCTTGGGGTAAATTACTCGTATTTATTGTGACCTACATGCATACCTTGTAATGAATACATACGAACAATGGTCTTTGTCAATGATGTTTGAAGTAACAAATAAAGAAATTTTTTCAAATATTACAATTCATCGCTTGTTTGTTTAGTATAGCAAAAAGTTTACAAATTATACAAAACAATAAGCGGCACTATAAATGGTCCCAACAAGAACTTCGTGAATACCAATCCGCATGCTACTTAAGAATGGATTAAGTAGTCTTAAAAATGAACTTTAATTAGGTTCGAAGATATGAAGATAAAGATGGTGTGGCCCCGTATGGTCGCGGTCTCCCTTCGATTTATAGGAGTTGACCTCGTTTTCGCAACTTGGTCTTGTTGTCAAGACGACTTAGTCTATGATGCCAGCGAAACGTCTGAGAATGTACCAAGTCCACGGTCGGATGCTGGTAATTATCATAAATACTATGACAAAGGACTTCAGACAAAGTGCGTTCTACTAAGTCCCCCTCACAACAAGACCAAGTTGCGAAAATGAGTTCAACCCATTTCTTTAATAATGTTCATTTCATCAATAATATCAGAACTTTCTGAACTCTTTTGAAAGATGAATGGAATGGATTTATAAATTAGACTCATCTAAAGCCGAACGAGGACTGGCTTAGAATTTTGACTGCTGGATTGTGCGAAAAAAACCTCGGCTCACTGTCCTACGGCATTGATCAGCCCTTGATGAGCTTCCGTCATTCCCGTCATAAAAGGCATCGTCAGAGCCAGAAACCATCATTTACAAGAAATTTCACTGAGAAAGACGGCCGACCTAACTGTTATTTACTTATTATACCCAATTGTGAAGTCTGAATGAGGCACTCCATGAATTGTTAGGCTACTTCAAACTAAATATTTGATGAAAATGTGGGTTTTGAAAAATCTTGAGAAAAGATTATTGTGAAGGCTTTTATTTCGTATGGAAGTACGTGAGGAAGAGATTCGTAGGTCAAGCTCACCAGAAGACGTTTGCTGATTCGCGTTGTACTGCAACCGTTTGGCCTTAATATGACCTTCAGGTCGATGCAGTCCATTCCAACGTTTCGTGCGAAGGCGAGTTGAACTTTCGTTCGTCATGACGAACATCGTCAGAGCTGGAACTAATTCTTGCAAAAGCCTCAAGTTAGCATTAAGTCAAGAAGACCGCCCATCTCCTTCCCATTCGATATATATACCGTATTTTCCGGCGTATAAGAGGACTGGGCGTACAAGACGACCCCCTGACTTTTCCAGTTAAAATATAGATTTTGTAAGGAGGTAAGGGGCACAACAGAAGCTCGGAACCATAGTATAATTAGCGATCCCTAAACTAAACTCGGCGTATAAGACGAGCCCCACTTAGGAGCAGAAATGTATGGTGTGAAAAGTACTCATAAATACTAATTTATGCTGACGCCGTTTCCAAGGCAATCTCCTTCGATTCCGATGAACACGTGCTGAGTTTTCGTCTGTCATATGATGGACATCATCAGAGCGAGGTAACATCGTCACAACAAAATTCAAGCTTACGAGTCTTCACCCAACACTTCTACTCGAAATGGAAGTAAGCCCAACAATTATGAAATAAGAGATTCCTCTAAACCCAACTTTTCTTCGTAAATACTAATTTAGCCAGCCTAGGCCGCTTAATGTGATTTAAGGAATGATAGTTGCGTTTTTCCCACAATTGGATCAGTAGACGCCACGATGTCATTGCATTTTTCTTGGCTTATTTCATCTGCAATCTCGATCTCACGCAGGTCTCAGTACCAGCCTAGCAGGACTCAATATTGGTTCGTGAGTATTGTGTCGACGTTAATACTTCCGATTTGCTTAGTAAATGAGGCAAATCGGGTATGGATTCTGCGGCAATAATGCATTTCTGAAACATCGATTTAGGCCTAGCAGTCCATGGTACCTCACGATGTGACCTTGTCGAATGATGGTTAATCTTTGTTCCGTCATCTCTGCCACTTTGACATTTGTAGCTCCGTAAGTCTGCCTCAAGGAACGTTCTTCTGGAATCGACAATTCGCCAGTTGTTAATTATAGCACCACCAAGGCAATGAACCCTCAGATTCCAGGAGATCCTACCCTTCCACCCAAATTTTGACTCAAAACAAAAGTTATGCAGACACCAACCACCGCTTTTGTATGCGAATGCCTGAAAGAAGTGCAGAAGAATGGTGAGTGAACCAGTAAGTATGTGGAGGTGTCTGTGTGACTGTGTGTGAACTTATTATATGTCACTGTAAGCATAGCCTCTGATAGAGCATGGATGCGCTAATATACCAATTCGAACGGCTTACCGAACATAACCCTTGGCAACTGCATTCTGAAAGGTGAGATGCTGGAGATAGGCGGCCGCATTGTACTGTGTCGCTTCGTTCGGCGCGGTAAGACAACGTACCACACGCCCCACCTCGTCGAAGTCGAGTTCGCTACCGCCAAGTTGACTCATGCCGATGGGCAAACGACTACCAACGCTTGGCCGAGTCGACAGAGCCGATGCAGGCACCGGCGCAGCCGAGGCATTCGATGGTTTCATGAGGAGTTTAACGGCTTTCTCCTCAGCCGAAAGTGAGGCTAGAGTTGCAGGGTCCAGACAAGGTGGTCGCAGTCGAGCGAGTGGAGCTATCTTAGGAGTTATTGTCTCAACACATATGCTGTCAGGGCTCGGTAAAGAAACGGCATCTTTGGCTAAATGGATAAAAATAGGAGACAAGAAAGGTGGTAAAATCACAATTCAAAAAGGGTTCTAGACAATATAAGACCAGCATTCCTTTGCATCACGGGATTTCTGCACCTAAGATTAATTTCCC